AACATTAAGATTGCAGAAACTGTTCCCTCAGTAATTTTGTCAGGTTTATAGGAAATGCTCATTGCTATCTTTTGATTTGCATGAGTGCCAGGAGGAAACCCTTCTTTTCCAGGTCAAAGTACCAGTTGACAGTCCTGGTTCCGAACTAAGACAGCAAAGATGGAGTTGAATGACTTCATGGGAAAGTTTGGCAGACTTCTATAGGAATTGCCGGCATTAAGTTAGGCTGTTACGATACAGCAGACATAGATGAGTGCATCATGACTAAGATTTTTCAAGTTTTGTTTAATGAGTATGAGTGTTTTTCTGCATATATGTACATGCACCACATGTACCCTGTAGGTTAGAAGAGGACATCAGTTCCCCAGGACTTGAGTTACAGATGGTTGTTAGTCACCATGTGGGTGTAACAACCTGGGTCTTCCACAAGAGTAACAAGTGCTCTTTACTGCTGAGCCATCTCTCCAGTCTCAACTCTTATTTGCTGGCAGCAACAACTTCTGTAATTATTTTTATTTTCTTCAAGTACAAATTCTGGAAGTGCACTCTTAAATAAGTTCATTTTTGAAGATCCATCCTAACCATAGCTTTAGGCCTAAAGAAAGACTTTCTCAAGTAGAACTGACCTATTTAGATGGAGAGGACTTTGGCTCAGCAACACATAAGTGTGTGTGTGTGTGTGTGTGTGTGTGTGTGTTTGTGTGTGTGTGTGTGTTTGTGTGTGTGTGTGTGTGTGTGTGTGTGTGTATGAGCTATGTGTACTATGTATGCATGTGAAATGTATGAATGTTGATTAGTACTGATGCAAACACACTTCAAGAACTAACAAGAAGGACTTCAGTGATTAGGGATTATTTTGTTTGTTTGTTACTTTTAAAAGATTGAATATGGCAGTTTAAAGTGATTGTCAAAAGAACATTTGATTTTAGGTATATTTTATAAGTCAGTATTCTAGGTGAAAATGAAATTCTATTTCATTTCTTAAATGAGAAAAATCTAAACAAAAGCAATTTCCTCACTTGAAAGTCAAAACATTAAAATTAAAACAAAAAGAACAAAAAATGAGCTAATGAATAAACATAAATTAGTTAATAGCTCAGTGTAAAACAGGACATAGTTACCTTAAGCCAAATGATGATGTACTCCACATATTCAACATGAAAAATCAGGAAGCAACTATTAATTTATGAGCTTCATTTGAATTAATACCCTCTCATTCATCTACCATTTAACAATAGCATTAGTTTTCAAAACCCATTCCAGAGAAACATGCTTTTAAAGTCAGTATGGTGCAAACTTTTGTCTTTGGAATGCTGAGCTCTGTGCTGTACCCTAGAGGAGAATGAAGTAAAGTTGAAAACAGTTTCCACAAAAGCTTAGAACTTCAGGCAAAAAGATGCTCTTGTTAGTGAGGAACCAAAGTGCTTCAGCAAAGGGAAGGCTGCATCCGCTTCGCACTTTTGGAATTTAGTGGACACAGCTATGTCTTGGCCCAGGCTACACTAGGATTTTAAGTAATATTGGATCAGCATGTGCGGGAGAAAATGGCAAGACCATGTAAGCAGAGCGCAGAGGGAGACTGTGAAGAGATTAGCTAATAAAACCAACAGGCGATAGTCAGGAGCATATTGTATGAAAAACGTAGTCACGGGAGCTGGGGAGCTGGGGAGCTGACTCAGTGGGCAGGAAAACTCATGCTCTGTAAGCATGAGGATGAGAGATTAGAACCCCAGAATCCACCTATAATCTCAGCACAGGGGAAGCAGAAATGGGGTCCCCAGGGCAAGCTGACTACACTGGCTGGGCCAGTAAGCTGTGGATTCTGCAAGAGAACCTGACTCAATAAATGAAGCAGAGAGCAAGTAAAGAAACCCTCCCCCACCACACACATTCACACTCATGTGAATATGTGCATACATACACACACATCACCTACATTTTTTTTAAGTGTCATGAGACTTGTTTCCTATGCTGAGGCCCACCTTGGGAGACACAGCATATGCACCAGACTAGTTATGTACCACCAGGGAGAGAAACATAGACAGCCCTAAGAAGACAGTATGAACAATGCTGGTGACAGAGAGGAGTCTTTTGTTTTCAGATAAGACCTTGAGATTGTATAGCACCTTAGAAATATCTCCCTGGGGTTTGGAAAGAAAAGGCTGGAAGAGTTGGTTTGGAAAAGAGACTGATTTTAAAGCTAAAGTGAGAGAAGTTGTCCTGGCAACCCTGTCTGTCTCTTCTACTTAACGTCAACCTCATCCTAACCTATCAGTTAATTTAGCCTTAAATTATTAACTAGAAACTAGTCATTATCTGTACTGAGAGAAATGAAATCAAAATGAACATTGCAAACCCATCCTTTTAATCCCTTTTCAATCTATATTCAACAGAAGTTTTGGTATAGTACTTATATCAGTACAGTGTTAATGACTCTATAATAGCACTTTTGTTTTCAAATGTAAATATCAGGGAGCTATTCCTAAAGTTTTGAAATCCAAAGATTACAGTAGTCTGCACTTCAGCTAAGGTCTAGTTCTTTGACCACACTCCCTCCCCATGTATATATGCATATATTTTCTTACTATATTTTATAATAATTTTCTGAAGATGACTAGAATTATTATCTTAAATATTATATTCACAAGTAAGGCATTTCAGGTACGTTATGATCAAAGCTGAAGAAAAATAATATCAAAGTTTTTGGGGGGGACCTTGTTCCAAATCTTGCCTACCCAAAAAAATCCCACGTTTTTCATTTGTGTTTTCTTCCAGACTTTCATGTGAACGCATGATTTGCAAACATTTATACTCAAAGTCTGAATAAAAGAAAGGAAACATTATATATCCTCCTTTAAGGGAGAGTAGCACAAAAGGGCCAGAAATCCTTTGGGGGGGGGGGGGGGGGTCTCACATAGGCTTCCTGATGGCTAGCTTTTCTCCTCGGATGGGAGTAGAGGGGGCAGAGCATCAGCCAGGCAGCTTTCCCAAAGACACACCTATATTTAGCCAAGGTGGTTTGTGTGGCAAGAGGGAGGGGACTTGGCCATGTGCTCTCTGACTCATCATCTCAAGCACACGTGTCAGTTTCAGGCACAGCTGGACAGCTTCCTGCAGAAGGCGGAGTCTGATTGTAGCTTTCCTGGGCTCAGGACTCCACTTCCCAAACTAAACTATAAATTAACAAGCTCTGGGAGCCGTGGAGCCTTCAATAAATCAGCTGAGTGATAACATTGGTGCTTGCTTTTGGCCTCACACACTGTTCCTTTTTCCTACTTAGAGCTGGAGTCTGCATGCACTCCTGTGCCCTGCCTGATTCTGCCCCCAGCTGGTAGCAATCTGCTGGGCACACTTCAACAACGCTGCCTTCAAAGAGACTTCATTTTTCTGCTCTCCTTGTGCAAAGCTGTAGTTAGGATGCAATACCGTGACATGGAGGATTTCAGGTTGTAGCTGGTCTAACATAATTTTTAGAATCCCTTTTTGGAAGAGAATGCACAAGAGACAGGAGAGAGAAGGAGAATTTTGAATGCAAATTTTAATCATTTCTCTTCAAAGAACTAGGTCAATGATAAGAGACAATTTAAGTTCCTAGGGCCTCAGTTTCCTCCTCTGGGAATGTCACTGTGTTCTTTAGGATGCTTCACCAATTTGAGGAATATGAGTGGCACAGTGCCTAATGTAAACAGGCCAGTGGTGCACGGCCAATTGCTCTGTGTCAGTGGCTAAGCGACTGAACTGTTCTCTTCGTGGCTGACATCACAATGAAGATGCTACTTTTGATACCATGAGTGAAGGTTCATCTGTACTTGCCTTCTTTCTGATAACCCTGTCCAAAAGCTTGCCCCAGCTTCCTGTGTTCAAAAGAAGCATTTTCTAAAGAAGCCAAAGAAAAACATTGTTTATGTACCACACATGTTCAAAGTCTCAATCTTGCCATTTGTGGATTCCAGCTTCCAGGCTGGCTTGCTTAGGGAACTGAGTTGTAATCAGAGCTATGTTATTAATGAATAGGTAATAAATACATGGCTACAAGTACCCTCACTTATAAACGGACCGAAGGAAGTCACAGCCTGCATTTGAATCATTTGAGTCATGTCTGTGACTGGATACACCTTCTGGTGATGGAGTAAAGGAATTTAATTGTTGGAATTACTGGATCATGAGGGTCATTGGGAAGCTTTAGAAGTGCAGTACTAGGAGCAAGTGATATGCTTCTAATAGGAAGTATTAGAAAGATACTAATTGCACGAGCACCTTCACCTATTATCGGGTCATAATGCCTGTCCTCTCTTTTCTCAAGCTCATGAAGTTCACCTACATACTTGTAGACTCCTTTGAGTGGGATTATTGTTAGCAAGCTATTGAAGCTCCTATAGATATTTGCTTGCTGATAGACTTTTTCTAGCATTACTGCTCCCAGTGACTGAGTGTACGAAGGTCTGCTATTCTCACCAACAAAAGGACTTTCAAGTTTAGAGATTAAATCATGTCCTTTCTTGTCCTAGTTATCATTACTCATGGTTATTCATATTTTAAGATTTAAGTTCAGGGAGACTTAGGCAACCCCTTATCGGTGAATATACCAACTTTTCCCAGATATGTTCCTTCCAAGCTTGTAAGCAATGAAAACTTCCAACATGATAATTTACTCCACTCTCACTGTTATAATGGAATTATGCTTTGCATTTTACTACTTAGATACAGATTACCGCGAATTGGATGCCTCTACTCATTCAAACAGATTTTTGACAAAGGGAAGAGGACGGAACCTAAGGTGGGGACCCGAGATGCAAGCATAGAAAGAGAGCACAGTGCGTTTCTGATATCACAATTTTTCTCTGTGTGCATGGTAGACTATTTGTCTAGCATCGAATAATTCTTGTCAAATTAATTCTCTAGGTGGCCAAAATTCATTCAAAATTAAACTGCAATAAAACGTTTCTATAGAGGAGAGGCCAATACTGGGCTCAAGGAAAAAGAAGAGAAATGGTTCTTACCCTGCAGGCCTTGTGTCTTCAATGGCTCTGTCCACTGGAATCAAGTCACTAAGGTAGACATTGAAGTTCCCTTCTTTCCATCGTCGGTCTGCCTCCTCCTTCTTTCCAGGGGGAACCACCACAGGGCGCCCAAACTGACCTGGAGCATTGGGATCCCTTGGAGAAAGAGTCACATCGACTCTCAGCACACGGTGCCTTCCAGGGTTTTCAGGGGCATTTGTGTGGCTTTGCTGGTGTCCCGCAGTCTGGGCCTTGGCAGTCATGTTTCTTCTTGCTGAATGGAGTTCCCCCCCTAAGGCCAGATTGGCTTGAGACATCGCTCTCTGTGGAGCTAGTAGAGAGGAAGATGTTTTGCTTTGATTCCTGGGGATGTGTTTTCCTTGGCTTCCACCCAGTAATTCAGGAATGGCAGTTTGGGTTTTAGGAGCAGGCATCTCTTTGGTATCTGTCCTCGGGTCCTCCTCTTTGGTTATAATCACAACCTGGCTTTCAGAGAAATTAAGCTTCTTCCCTGGCACCACTTTGGCCCCATCATCTTCTGGCAAGCCTCGCAGCTGTGTCTCATTCATAGATTGCTTCTTTAAACGACCTGTGTCAGCGATGAACTTAAAAAGAGGTAGCACTTTATGGCCTTTGTGTTTTAGTTCTTTACCCTGAGCCTCAGTTTTCTTTATGGCTATGGCTTCCCCAGATTTCAGGACTGGAGGGCTGGTAAAGTGTGTCTTTGCTTTTCTTACCATCTGTGATTGCTGCTTTGATCTGTCAGTCATGACACCGACGGTCACATTCAGGGTCCGTTCAGATGCTTGCTTCGATGCATTACCACTGAGAGTATGATTCTTCAGGGCCTCTTGTTTCTTAGCGAAGGTTTCTGTATATACTGATATTTTGGTCAGTAGAGTTCCTCTTGATGCTGTGGATGGGGTCCTCTGCGATGAAACTGTTGTTTGCTTGGGTGCCATGTGCTGCGAGGGCTCTTGAAGCTTGCGGGCTCTCATCTCTGTCCTCTGCATGGTAAGATGCACTGGGAGGGTTTGTAGATGTGCAGGATGCCACAGAGGCACAGCTCTTCCCCTTCCCAGGGGGATCTGCATTTTCCCTCTCCTCTGGACTTGGTCCATATTCTCTTCCACTTGGTGTACGTGGTCCTCTCCCTTCCTAAAGTTCTCCTCGGCCCACACCCCATGCCGAGGCAGCCCCATCCCTGTGATGCTGGTGTAGAGGATCTTCATTCGGTCTGGCTGGACTCTGAATCCTGTCTGCTCCCTCCTTCTGATGTCTTCATTGAGTATCCCAGTGCTGATCTCACTGAATGAGAGGCGGAGAGCTGCCATGTCAAAGAGCAGCCAGATGACAGAAGCTACAAATATAAATGCCAAGACTCGCCCACTTCCTCGGAAAAACTTTCGGATCTTGTTCATCGTACAAAGACGCGCCTTGCAGCTTGCCCTCCCTCTGAGTCTGCTTACCTGGAGTGGAGAGAGAGTTGAGACAGCAGCAGCAGAAGCAGGAGCCAGGCCCCCGCCTCTCCTGAACCTAGCAGGAAACAGCCGTCCAAGAGGGAAAAGCTCAGCTCCTACTGACTGCCTGTCACTCTCTGCCTGCGTGGCATTTCACTGAAAAGTATCTATGCCTGCTCACTGGCCCTGGCTAAGCCCTAGTAAACACTGGCTCCAGGTGACTCCCAGAGCAGTCGGCTGCAGCCACCACGGGACAGTTCACTGCATCTTGTCTGGGAGGGTCCATGTCCACCTTCCTTCAAGCCTAAGAAAAGGTGGGGCTAGGACGGTGCTGCCTGCTGCCGCTTCTCGCCCGCTTCTCTCCTCCCAGTTCCCTGCATGCTGTAACTCAACACCGCTTCTCAGAAGGAAAACATTTCAAGCCATTACCCAGAAAACTTCATTGCGCTCTCACCTTCTGTGCTCTATGAGAGAGTGTGTGTTTTAAGGGCAATTAAACAGAGAGCAAACTAACTTCGAGGGCATGTGTTCCTGGTTTGTAACCCCACCTACCCCGCTCCTTACTCATTAACCCTGTGGTACCCAGATGCTGGAGTGCTCTGCTGGATCCATTAATTCTTGACCTGAGTGTTTCAGCTCCAAGAGGTTAATGGCTTAAAGAAGGGGTATCTTATGGCCTCATTGCCAGAGAGGACTCTTTAGTTATTCAAAAGGCTTCCACAAACACATGAACAGGTACAGAAACATTTCTTTGTAGGTCAGCTACTCTTTTTACACTAGTCCATCCTTTTTTTTTTTTCATTCTTAGACTTAATAGACTGACACAATTTGTCACATTCCTATAGAAGATTCAAAACACTTTGCTATGACCTGAATGTCTGTGTCCCCGCAGTGGAAAGCCTAATCGTCAATTGGGTGAATTAACGTGTAAAGTCTTTGGAAGGTGGTGAGATAAGGAAGAAGGAGCCCTTATGCATCAGACTAGTGTCCTTAGAAAAGAGCCCAGTGAACTACCTTGCCCCTTCTACTGTGTGAGGGCACAGCAAGAAGGAATCTCGAAGGAACCAAGTGACAAAACGTTACTAGACACCACCTCTGCTGTTCTGGACGTCTCAGCCTCCAGAACTGTGAACACTTAACTGATATTGATTATAGACTGATACTGATTATAGAGCACTTAGTCTATAGTATTTTCTATGGAAACTTAAATGGATTAGGACACTCATATATCAGTATTTACTCAGTCATGGACCGGTAATAGCTTGACAGTTATGCCAAGATTTTGACTAGCCTCTGCATGACCCTGGGAAACCGAAACGCCAGTAGTTTCCACATGGCTTTGACCTTAAAAACTACTGGGAAGCCCCTTTCTTCCAGTTGTTTATCTTGTTGCTGTCACTTGACAAAAGCTAGTTAAGGAAAGAAGGGCTTATTTTGTCTCACAGTTGGAGGGTGCAGCCAGTCGATCATGGTGGGGAAGCCAGGTACAAGAGACTGAGTCACAGTGCATTATCTGTAATCAAGAAGCATAGAGAAAGACGAATGATGGCCTTAGCTTTCTTTGTTGTTTTGACAATCCAGTATACCAGATTGTAGAATGGTACCACCAATGTCTGGGGTGGGTCTTCCCACTTTAGTTATCCCAGTCTAGAAAATTCCTCAGAGACGTGCCTTGTCCCCTAGATATTCTAGACCCTATCAGGTTGCCAATATTGACTGTCACCACCCCAAATTCTAGATAACTGATAAGCAGGAAGTAGAAATGATTTACTTTCTGGTATTATATTTTTAGAAAAATTCCTAGGTCTTTCCAGTGTGCAAACTTGTGACACCCTGGTCCTAGTAGAAAATCTACCCCCTAGCTTTGAGAACTGTTCCCATGATGGTAATTTCAGATGTCGGCTTAACTGGCTTAAGACACAGATAGCTGATAAATTATCGCTTCTGTGTATTTCTGTGAAGATACTTCTGGAAGGGCCTGGTGTGTGAAGCAGTGACCTGAATAAGAAAGATATGGGCGGGCACCACAAGTTCAGAGAAGGCACATTTACCCTTCCTGTTCCAGAGACAGGAGGCTCAGTTCTGCCCAGAACTCAGTTATCAGAACTTCAAAATTCTCTGGCCTTTGGTCTTCGGGACTTACTCCAGCATCCTTCTCAGTTCTCAGGCCTTTAACTTTAGACTGCCAACTCCACCATTGGCTTCCTCTGCTCCTGGAGCTTTCTAACTTGGATGGTATCACATTGTCAACCTCCTAGTTTCCTAGCTATGGCAAACATATTGTGGAATTGAGTCTCACCATCCGTAATTGTGAGCTAATTCTCCTACTGCATCCTTTGTTGTCTATCTGTCATGTACCTCTCTTGTCTGTCCATCCTATTGTTTCTGTTTCTCTGAGTAACGCTGACTATAGCCCATGATGGTTAGTGCTAATTGTTAACTTAGAAAAGCCTAGAATCACCAGGAGGTGGGCCTCTGATTGAGCTTGTGGGAGATTTTCTTAATCTGATTAACTGAGGGAGGAAGAGCCACAGTGTTTGTGGACAGCACCATTTCACCTGACTGAATGAGATGGAGAGAGTGAGCTGAGTACTAGCAGGTGTGCAGTAATTTATTAGTCTTTGGTCTTCAGAGTGGACAGCTAGCAATGTCACTAGCTGTCTTACATTTCTGCCACCTTGACTTCCAGACAATGATGAGATTTGCTGGAATTGTGAGCCAAACAAACCCATTCTCCATTAAGCTGCTTTTGTTGGGGGTGGTTTATTACAGCAACAGGAAATGAAGCTATGTTACAACCCCATCATTTTTGTGAATTGCTTGTCAGAGTAATACCTAATAATAACTATGCTCCACAAGACAACTGAACAAGGATGTGCACTTTGTCATTGCTAATTATAAAGATTGTGCAGCAGGTCTGAAATTACTGCTCAGGATCTATTTTCTGAGAAACTCTGAGATGATATGATGCCACTTACTCCAGAGAACCAATCATCCACCCTTTGAGGTAAACATGGGGTGGGGGAGTCTCTATTCTTTATTCTTAGGCATTGCCTTCTACAGTGGCTGAACAAGGCTTGTGCTTTGCCCCTAAGGAGATAACCCAGATGTAACATGACTTTTCAGCTCCTGATTTTCCTTACTGTTCAGTACCTGCCTTACTACTCTGTGTTAGAATATCCATACAAGTGGTAGGATTAGAGCTCAGCTGTTTCTTCCACACATATCTGCCTTTATTCATCTATCCTTCTTGTATAGCTTAGTTCCTATGTAAGATAAAAGCACATAATTACTAACATTAAGGACATCATAGGTTGTAATGGGCATGGAAAGATAAGTACATTCTGGATGTTAATATACAATATCTAGTATGAAAAAAACAACCCCTGGAATCTGTGGTGACATAGTTCAGTAAGTATGGATGGTTTTTAAAGAGTCTATTTATGGACTTGAAGGATAAAATAAGAATAAGGTTATCGCCTCTTGTTATATTGTAGACCAGAGAAGAAATACCAGTTGAACTGTGCAAAACTGATGAATTAACAAAAGCGTATGAATGAAGACAGACTGCTGCAGGAACGGAAGCTCGGCTTTTGAGAACAGCAGACAGGCTCTGGTTTTAGCATGCTTGTGTTTCCCTGCTAACATCCCAAGCACTTTGCTGAGCTCTTTCCTCTGAGTATCACACTCAGTACTTATAATAGCGCAGCAGAAAGATAAAATCTTGTTCTATAGACGGGAAATGAAAATGGGGAGAAGGAAAATGCCTTACAGTAGAGATTGGAAGAGCAGGCTCTTGAATACAGCACTGTGTGATGCTCTGGTCCATGTAGTTAAATGTTATAGAGAGCTGTTCCTCAGACTCAGGGCTTCTTAAGTTCTTGAGTCTGGGCCTATAAATTTAAACAACCTATTTGAAATGAATTCTTTGTTATGCATTTAACCACATACTAAAGACAAAAGCAAATTTGTATACTAGTGAGGTAGGCATATTTATTTTAACTTAAAGAATCAAATATTTGATACTGTTAAATGCAGAGCATCTTCAGCATTTTCAGTGTTAATATATAGCATAAAGTGGCAGAAATGTGTGTGTATGTGTGTGTGTGTGTGTGCTATTTATTTTTATCAAGTTGGCATAAACTAGAGTCACTTTGGGAAGAGATAACCTCAGTTAAGATGACTAAAATGATTGCGGCAATGACAAAAGAAGTTTATCTGAGTATTTTGTCTTATTCTTACCATTATTATTGCATTTTCTTTTTCTAAAAGATTTTAATTTATTTTATGTATATGAGTGTGTGCTTGAATGTGTATATGGGCACCAAGTATACATTAGTTACTTTTATGTTGGGGAAATAAAACACCATGACCAAGGCAACTTACTAATGAAAGGATTGATTTGGAGCTTACAGTTCTAGGTGAGTGGAGCAGCGCGTGGTAACAAGCAGCAGGTTCGGTGTAGAAACAGGAAACTGGGGGATCACATTTTTAACAAGCATTGAGCAGTGGTGACTTGAAATCAGGCAAGGCTTTTTACTCTCAAAGACCACCCTCGGGGACATACTTCCTCCATTGTGTAAATCTTCCCAAACAGCGTTATCACCTCTGGACCAAGTATTCAAATGACTGAGACTATGTGGGACATTTCTCATTCAAACCATCACAAAGTGTCTGCAGTGTCTGTGGAGGTCACAAGAGGGCATCAGATCCTCTGGAACTGGAGTTACAGGTGGTTGTGAGCCACCTCATAGGGGTACTGGGAACTGAACCTGGGTCTTTTGAAGAAACAGTAAGTACTCTTAACCACTGAGCCATCTCCCTATTCTCTGTTATTACATTTTATTATGGATTCAGTCATGACAGCTTTTCACTGAGAGTACACTATACACTCAAAACATAAAAAAGATGATACTGTTTCTGCCCCCAGTGGCCTAAGAGCTTCACTTAGAATTTTATCAATCAAATCACAATAATTGACTGTCAGTACTTCAAAATAAAATGTATACATTTAGCATCATGTTTAGTTTGCATCAAAATACCATGTTAAGCCCCAAACCAAAATGCTCTGTAGATTGTTTACAAAGTTGAAATGGAATCTAGATATATCTCCACTTAAAGTGGCATCATAGAGTTATTCAAAGTCTAGTAAGAAAAATAAAAAAATGTATGACAAAGTTAATTATGCT